ATGACATCCTCTGCAACCTTTTGCCTCAAGTGTCTTCTATATCCGTGAGGAGATTGTCCAGTATTCACTGACATATAGGAGAACTGATATTACATAACATTTCAGTAATCTTTTATTTGTTTGTAACAAAACTGTAATTAAAATGATAATGGAAAATATCTTCTCTATTGCACAATGGTAAAGGATGCTATATATTGCGCAAAAAGTGAATGCAAGTTTCCTGTCGGAAGTTTGATTTTCTTTCTTTTTTATTAAATCTCTCGGCTGATACGTACTGTTTCACTGTTTAAATCTAAAGCAAATCAATCCGAGTAGCCAATAAATATAGTACTTATAGCAATACCATATATATATATATATATATATATATATATATATATATATATATATTGAATAAAAACAGACCACGTTAAGATTCCATGTAATAAGCTATTTCACCATAATCCCTTTAACAGGGTTCTGGATCATCAGACTTTACTTCCGAAAGCTGAAATGAAAAATGAAAAGAAATTCACACGTTTTTGACGGACCTCATCAAGTATACGTAACATTAACGAAGTGAGGTGGGAGAGAGGTTGAGTAATCCGGTGTAAATTTATCCATTTTAGTTTGGAAGTATTTATATATATATATATATATATATATATATATATATATATATATATATATAAAATTGGCAGCATATATTTTATATTACAAAGAGTTAATTGATTCAAGGTATGATTAACACTTTTTAATATATATATATATATATATATTATTGCGAGACCGGAAACTACCTACAAAATAGACTCTTCCAGGCCTATATTAAGTAGGCGACATAGCACTCTAGAGAGTGACACAGAGTGACAGTGAGAGTCTAGTACGACTGCCAGTGTTGGACACTAACTTATAGTAAGCTCTGCTTACACTATCTCTGTAATCTGTTGTTAATATATCTTTCTTACTTCTAATCCGTGTTCCGTGTTCCGTGTTTTACTTCTGTGGTCCCAACTCTGGCCCCACATCAGTGGCGACGAGGATTCGAGAAACGCACTCACGGCGAAACCTCAATACCTTACCAGTTCCACATCTGTGTCGACGAAGAATTCGAGAAACCCCTTCACGTCGAAAAACCGCAATACTTTGTCAGTCCCACAACAGTGGCGACAGAAATATTCGAGAATTTCGTTCTCACTATATCAATAGCGACAGTACTCGAAAAATGCACAAACACCACGCGTTCCCACAGCAGTGTTGAACGTGAAATTAAGCTGGTATTAATACATTAGCGATTTAAAAGCTAATCACCCAGCGTCTACATATATTCCAATACCAAACACCATTGACGAACTAGCGATTCGACATCTACGGAATATTAAAGTCTGTCCAAAATACGAGAACGATTTCTACACACCACACACACAGGAAAAAAAAAAACAGTTGTTCGTAAAACAAACTGACAATACAAGAGCAAGTACTACCATTGCTCTCAAGTTTTCGAAAAAAACTATCGAAATTTTTTTTTATGTAACTGAGTTGAACTCGTGCATAAAATTATTCTCCTCTCAAATTCACTGAGGCGAGTTTTCTCTTTTTGTACCTCTATAAACAAAAAAATTCATAAGTGTGGTGAAAATGTATTCAATTACGTCAAAATTAACGGAACCGCGGGAAAAAAATGCTAAACACATATAATTGGTTTAGTTTAACTAATTGTCTGTCCATATTTTTGTTCTGTTAAAGAAATCTATCAAGATTTTTTTTGTGTACCTCCTCTTAGTACACGTGTTTCAAAGCAAACAAAAAGTGCTGTCATTTTTAAATATGCAAGATTTGCAAAAAGTAGTTGCCCAAATATTAAAACTAAATTTGGATCAGCAACAAAAATCAGAAGAAATACAACAACTATTTTTGGAATTACATAAGCAACAAATGGAATTCTAACGAATTACGCTTCAGAATGCTGAACTACAACAGAAACAACTTAAAGAATTAATCGTAAATGCATTAAAAGGCTCAAACTCTGAAAAATATACAATATTCTCCCAGAGTACAATCTAAATTCAATAGAAACGTTTGAATACGTACCAGAGGACGACAAAATGTGCGAAGCTTTTTACAGGCGCTACGAAGATATTTTCAACGTAGACTCTAAACAATGGTCCAGTAAAAAAAAAGGTACGTCTACTATTGAGAAAACTGGGAACTACAGAACATAGTAGGTTCGTAGATTGCATACTACCCAAGAAAACGACTGACTTGGATTTTTCAGAGACTATTAAGCTCCTATCGGAACTATTCGGGCCTAACACAACCTTGTTCCACAAACGTTGGAAATGCTTGAACACAGTCAAAGACAACCAGCAAGATTTTCTAACGTTAGCAGCATCGGTAAACATGCTCTGTCATGATTTTAAACTAGCCGAACTGACTGACGATGATTTCAAGTGCTTGATTTTCGCACAAGGTCTAATATCAGCAGAAGACACCGAAGTCAGACGATGGGTACTGACCAAGCTTGACAACGAACAAGGATTGACTCTCCAAAAACTGGCAGAGGACTGTCAAAGAGTAATATCTGTAAAGCGTGACTCAAACACTATCGAGGAATCAGGTGTGACTCAGATTAATAAAATCAGAATTAAGTCTACCGCCTATTTCCCTCAAAAAGACAAAAGGCAAACCTCATGTCCTAAATTACGCAGTAACCAAAACCCAAATAAGTTAAAGAAACCGCCCGGACCATGTTACCATTGTGGTAAATGGCATTGGATGAAATTCTGTCCAGTTAAGAACAAAAAAATATTGCAAAAATTGCAATAAAAGTAGGCATACTTTAACTTCAAAAGGAGTACGCCAACAGAACGAGAAAACCCAAAAAATAAAATTAGGCAAGCTCAATCTGACAATAATTTTGATAGGAATTTAAGAAAATATGTAACAGTGGATATTTTCAATAAGTCCATTAAATTTCAACGTGACTCGGGTTCTGATATTTCAACCATTAACTGGCGTACTTGGCGAAAATTGAACAAACCGACCTTATTAAAAACGGATAAAACAGCAAAATCTGTAACTGGCGAAAAGATTAACATTTTAGGCGAGGTAATACTTACAGTAACACTAAATGGAGTTACCAAAAAGCTCAAAGCCTACGTATTAAAAACTTTAGATAACTTATTTGGAACAGATTGGATAGAAAAATTCAATCTTTGGGATTGCCCAATGAGTACATTTTGTCGCAAGATACAAAGTACAACGTCCAATTTGGTAAATCTAAAAAAGGACCTCAAACAACAATTTCCCCAGGTTTTTCTGGCGGCCTTGGGAAATGTACTAAAATGAAAGCTAAGTTCAAGGTGAAGGACGGTGCACAACCGGTATTCAGAAAGACACGGAATGTCCCTTTCGCTGCTCTAGAACAAATCGACAAAGAGTTAGATAGACTAGGACAAGCAGGTATTGTCAAAAACAGATTTCAGCGAGTGGGCAGAACCTACGGTCAACGTAAAAAAGAAGTCCAATCAAATACGAGTATGCGCAGATTTTTCCACAGGGTTAAACGATGCCTTGCAAGATCACCACTATCCTCTCCCAAGCCCTGAAGAAATTTTCAATAAACTCAATGGTGGAAAGTTTTTTTCTAAAATCGACCTCTCGGGCGCATACCTTCAGATAGAGGTGGAAGAAGAAAGTTCCAAATTGCTCTGCAGAAACACCCATAGAGGGTTGTACAAATACAACAGACTGGCTTTTGGAGTAAAGGTTGCGCCTGTAATTTTCCAGCAGATCATGGACGCCATGCTGGGCGACCTTGACTACGCAACAGCCTATTTGGATGATATACTGGTTACTAGTAAAACTATGGCAGAGCACCGGAACCATATAATAAACGTATTCGAAAAGATACAAGAATACGGATTTAAGGTTAAGGAGGAAAAGTGTGACTTTTTCTTACCAGAGATTAAATACTTAGGTCACATTATAAATAAAGACGGTCGTCGGCCGGATCCAGAAAGAGCCAACGCAATCAGAAACATGCCGGTCCCAGATAACGTTCAAGCGTTACAAAGCTTCCCCGGCCTCGCTAATTTTTACCAAGGGTTTATTAAGAACAAAATTTGAGAGGGCCTCTCAACCAACTTTTAAAAATGGACAAACCATGGTCATGGACCCCGGAATGCCAAGACGCATTCGAGAAGATCAAGAAAACTCTTACTTCGTACCTCTCCCTCACCCATTACGACCCTAGTCTTGACATCATAGACGCAAGTGATGCAAGCTCGTACGACATTGGTGCTTCCAGGTTACATAAACTGCCAGATGGTTCGCGAAAAGCTGTGGTTCACGTATCAAGATCTCTAGTTCGATCTCGACATGCCCCAAGTCTCTCCTGAAGTGCGACGCTCAGGAAGGAAAAGAAAATTTACTCAACCGCTCGACGTAAATCCCAAGAGGAAAAAGTATTAACATTTTTATTTTTTCTCTCCTTTTCAAAAAGAAAACTCTTTGGAGGGGGGGTATTGTGAGACCGGAAACTACCTACACAATAGACTCTTTCAGGCCTATATTAAGTAGGCGACATAGCATTCTAGAGAGTAACACAGAGTGACAGTGAGAGTCTAGTACGACTACCAGTATTGGACACTAACATATAGTAAACTCCGCTTACACTATCTCTGTAACCTGTTGTTAATATATCTTTCTTACATCTAATCCGTGTTCCGTGTTTTACTTCTGTGGTCCCAAATTTGGCCCCACATCATATATATATATATATATATATATATATATATATATATATATATATATTACAAAGAGTTAATCATATATATATATATATATATATATATATATATATATATATATATATATATATATATATATATATAAATGAATATGTAACACCATCTGCTTACTTACTCCACTAGGAGGCAAAGTCATTATGATATTGCCTTGCTACTAGTTCCTAATCTGAAATGCCATCATTTTTCTCAGTAGCAGGTGGCAATATCATAATGACTCCGCCTCCTTGTGGAATAAGTAAGCAGTTGGTGTCACATATTCAAACTGTCTTAGAACGTTATGGTAAACGTCTGATCACTGATGCCGAGGTTGGACATCCAATTCCCAGGATTAGTCAAATATCCACAGAAAATCCGTCTTTAATGGAAAAACCTCTATTTTCCTAAATGCCTCAGATGCATGAGGCCATACATTTAGCTGGTGGCACTGTGAAACTGCACACTGAGAAAAATGATGACATTTCAGATCAGGACCTAATAGCAAAGGGCAATATCATAATGTTTCCGCCTCCTAGTAGAATAACATATCAGTTGGTGCCACATATTCAAACTGTCTTAGAAAGTTATGGTATATATATATATATATATATATATATATATATATATATATGTATGTGTGTGTGTGTGTGTGTGTGTGTTGCACACACACACACACACATATATATATATATATATATATATATATATATATATATATATATATATATATATATATAGTTTCTTGAAATTATCCATGTAAAAAGAAACAGATTATCATCACATGTCCGTGTATTGCTTAATATATTGTACAGTAATTGGCAACTTTGATAATGGCTTATGTAAGCCAAAAGCTTACATTGGATTAAAAAATATATATGAATATTGTGATTTTCTTCGTTTAATGATAATGTTATTAAGCTTATCGGACGTTATGAAAAGAATTTACATAAAATAAATAAAACACTTGTCAATATTATTTAATGAAACATGTATGAATGAAAAAAAATGCTGCCTAGTTACACACACACACAATATATATATATATATATATGTATATATATATATATATATAAAATATTGTTACAATTGACGGATAAATATTATTTCGTAAGATTTTTATCGAGTTATAAGTTATTAGTAGCCCTTTTAAAAAGCAGGCCTCCCATAAACAGCCCTTTTTTGAATGGGGTCAAGGCTTTTAGCCAAAAACTGCACTAGGAATGAAATTATTATGACATAAATGTCTCTCACAACAAAATATGGGGAAAAAACTACGTAAATAATGCTGGTTGACACGAAAATTAATCATCTAGAAAATGCTGGCCAATCTTCTCACATATGAAGAAAAGTCTTGGAGGCAACGTCAATGTGGCCCTACTTAATGCTGCTCAGAATACCATGGCGTGAACATGTGAGTAATTACGAAGTTTTAGAGAAAAAGGAAAACAAAATGGACACGTATACATAACATAAGAAAGAGGCTGTTGAAACTACTTGAGCACATAATGCGGAGAGGGTGCTTGGAAAATTTGATACAGTATATATTAAAGGCAAAAGAGACAGTGGAAAACAGTACCTAACCTACGTAAAGGACTTGTATAGATGCATACCAGAAAAAAAGATTTTATGATAGATAAAAAGACAAAATTTACTAACAACTACAAAATACGGGGAATTTTGTATAGCTATGATCACCAATCATCCTGAGGGGGCATGGTATAAAGAAGAATGTCATATACCAAGCTACTGTAAAATTCACAGATAAAGAAAAATATCCATAGGAATAATAGAATGGAGCTGGAAACAAAGCAGCTACACACGCGAAACACTGTTTACAAATATTATATACGCGAACAACACAATTATTGAACATATCTGGGAGATTTAAAACAAAAGCCAAATCACTGCAATAATAGCAGAGAAATTAACGTTCAGCAACACCAGCCTACAATAAGTCCAAAAACTGCAAACTCTATCTGGAGGAGAAAATATCCACACAAACTGGCAAACCCTAGTAGATCCATCCTCGTAGCGCTGCATGAGAAACCAGCTAGAGATTTTCCATCAGAAAATCAATTTTAATCCTCACCTAAGGAAGCTGTATACGTGTGTGTGTTTGTGCGCGTGTGTATGCCTGTGTGCGTTTACATGTGTCTATGTATGAGTGCGTACAATTCAAAAACTGTATATACATTTTATCATCGAACCTGATGGCTGATTAACAGAGAACTTTCTATTTTCTGATGTCCTCTTATTTAGTTTCGTAATTACCTTGAAGAAATGATATTCATTATGCAGAAGTTTAGTCTGTAAAATTGTTTAGCCTGAATCAAATACAGAGATATATTATGAAGAATCACTTTTGATTATCACCAATTTTTCATGCAAATTTAATTTCGGTTCGTGTAACTGATAGAGACCCAGAACGAGAAATCTGACAGCCATATTCGAATTCCAGTCCAGTTTCGTTACGAAAAGAAAGATGTGAATCAATTTGTGGCACCATGCATCCTGACGATTTGAAAGAAATATTTATAGATATATGATTTGCTTTTTTACGGTTTATCAACCATTTGAGGATTATTTAAGCCCGAAAAATATTTTAGGTTTTAAGAATAATTCCTTCTTTGCATTCAGGAGATTTGGGAGAAAGAAAGAGAAAACGAAGAAGAAAGAAAGAAAAAGTAATACGAGACGGGTCATAGGCGAACACACACACACGGCTTAAGACCCGGGAATAAGGAAGAAAAGGGTTATTGTTGATAGGTATCAGATGTCGAAAATATCTAGGTCACCTACGAACAAGCGTTGACCGATTTCCGCTTGTCCACGAAAAATGGAATTTTGTTATCAATGGATGTCACCAAAAAGAAGAAATCTATTGTTGAACATTGACGAAACACAGACAGTCTTCACTGGGTGTAGAGAATCAAAATCCCACACAAGTAGTTTTCACTGGCTAAGTTTTTCTTTTTGACAGAATAGACTTTTGCCCTGCGATAATAAAGATTTTTTGTTATCAACACATGGGCCGAAGGAAAAGAAATATTTTTATTTTTGCTTTAGAGACGCCAAGTTGGCTAGGAAAATTTCTTTCTTAGGTCATGTCCAATTAGCGATAAACTGCTTGACAAACGCCAGGTGTTGAAACCGAGGGTTGTCACCTCGGCCGCTCATAATAAGGGCGATTTTATTATTATTTTTTTTAGTTAAGCCAGGTATTTCTTTCCCAAAACAAAGCCACGGGTTGTTCACGCCCGACTAAGACGTCATTGGCCAAGTGGATCACATGACGCACGAAGGAGGAGGAAAGATACCCGACCAGGACCTCATTGGCCGAGAATGGTCACGTGACGCACGAAGAAAATCAGTCGACGCCTCTATTCAGAATGTAAGTATGAGAAGCCGATACGAAGAAGTGGGGAAGGCAGTGCACGCCCCTCAGAAGCACGGTAAGAGAGTGGGAGTGAGAAAAGAGGTACCAAAAATGGAAAATAGTGGAAAATCCCTAACCAGAAATAAGAAGGGTAGATACGTATTTAGAATTATCGAAGAACCCCTGGCGCCGATAGACCCACCCCAGTTTTGACGGCGTCAATAAAAACGAAGCCCCACCAGACAGAAATCAGTTGAGCCCCGGACGGCAGGCAGAGATGAGTGCCCAGTGTTGAAACCGCATCAAGATAGCTGACCAGATTCACGCAAAATTTTCGACTCTTCTTCAACCAAGAACAAGTAGTTTGAAGAGCGACTTAGAACCAGACCACAGAAATAAGTTTTTCGACTTTCGTCCAAAGACACACCGAAACACAAATTTCTTAGAGAGTAGACAACTTGAAGCGTTAAGATTTGCCTAGCGATAGCGTCGTGCCACAATCCACAGAACGGGTCGGGAGGTAGACATAGTCCTATGTACCGAACAACTAGACATAAAAAGTTTGTTACCTTTTTCTTTGATACTTTGAACTTTGTGAGTTTTCATTTTCTTTTCTTTTATACATATTTGTGTGTTATCACCCCCGTTGAACTCAGCTTGCATTACGGCCCCAACCCCTGTTTGATCTCGTCTGTCTACGATCAATTCACAACGTGGGTAGGCAGACTGGAGATCAGTGCAGTTACCCTGGTAACCAGGCGTTGGAAGCAGGTTGGGAACGGCGAGGCTGGTATCAATCTAACCAGATTCCTACCCGAATCACCAAAGGGTTAGAACGTCACGTTTGGAGCAGCGACACCCGGACGGAGCAGCGAGGAGCGAACAGCTGACGCCGCGGCGAAGACGTCACAATTGGTGCTGTTTAGGGACGTCACAACTGGCGCCGTGGTAGATCAGGATAGAACGTCACAGTCGACGCTGCGACCGGGGGACGACGTCACAAATTAAACCGACAGTTATGGATGAAACAATATGATGGCCTGGTCACTTCAGTCTCGAATGGCAAACATTCTGTTAGAAGAACAACTCTATGAAATAAATGTGAATGTCACTGTGTCCCACTTTTTCAATTAAGGGGACACAGCTCTAACTTTCAATAGCTTATGTTACCGAAATTTTAGATTCCAATTTTCATTACTGCGATTGATTTCGGCGATTTTTACGCGTTGCGACGAAGTTTTTGTATGATAACAATTTTTTAAACTCGGGAATAAATTTGGGAATAAGTGAATTTAATTGCTAAAACCAGCAAAAGTCACCGATGAAATAAGATTACTTACGGAAAGTAAGGACCTACGCACATCAAATTTTCTTTAAATCTAGTGGGGACAGAAGAATTAGCGTTGAACATTCAAAAAGGTAAGCTTAAATGTTAAAACAATACTTAAATGTAGCGATCAATTTTTCATTCTTTTGTAGTTTAATGTTGCGTATCGCACACGGCAACACTATGCCTGACAAAAAGAAATCACCGCAAAAAAAGAGAAGCAGACTTCAATCAAAAGAGCTAAGGCTACATCGAGAAAAAGAAGGCCCCCTGTAAATGAAAACACACATCAAACGGCAGCCAGGATAGTTTCCAATGCTGAAAATATACAAATTCTTAGTGACTCTAAAACGCCTGAATCAGATGTAGGCCCATCTAGAACCCTCCGCATAACTTAAATGTCGCCCGATCGTGGAAGTTGTAATGATTCCATAATCTCGACTGTAGTAGGCCTTGAATGATTGATAAATGTCTGAACATGTAGGCACTATTTCTTTCTAATTCATGTTGCTTTCTTAATGGTCTTTGTAAATAAAAACGATCCACGTGTTAAAATAAAAATCATCCAAAACAACTAACAACTAATCGAAAATTAATAACGCCAATGATTTATCGAAGAAATTTGAACAATGTATATTTTCTTAATGGTCGAGTCTTTGAGTAGTTTAAAAGCATTTGAGTAATTTAAATATGCATGATTTAGAATGTGACTCTCTCAATGTGCTACTCTTGTTCATGATTTAGACGTGCATGGTTCTCTAATAGCTTTCTCATTTATCGTTTTCAGTTTAAGACAAAACAATTCAAGGATATCTTGAAGAATCCTTTTGAATCTGGCTCCAACATATCAAAGCATACACAGCAATAGCAAAGGACGACAATCTTTAATTCAATGCACGAAAATTTGCCTTTGAAAAATTAATTTACCCAAATATGAAAGCTACTTTTTACCGACGCAGTTCTCAGGTGAAACAACAATATAGATTTTAGAATCTAAGATATAGTTTGCACTTGAACAAATAATGAAAACCTTCATCGTAAAGAATAGTCTGTATATAAGGCGTGGTCGCGAGAACATAATGATCTAAGTGTGATTTTCAGCATATGGGCATATCAAATTATTAAATTGGAGAGCACTTGGAAATATTAAAAAATATAAGAAGGTCATGAGCTGATACAACGAGTATTTTGCAGAAAGACTAAAGTTCGAACATAACAATGAACTGAAATGTACAATGAAGGTCTGCAGGAAATGGTTTATTCGCATCAATGTGTTTGTCTTCGAGTGACTTCACTAGAATCCAGACTTTACATTATCGATAATCTCTAGAGAAAACACAGGACCCAAAGGATGGAATGAAAAATGAATGATTAATTTTTTCAAGTGGGGATGTTCGATATCGCAGTAGGTAGATTCTAAAAGCGTATAAAGAATTAAAAGGACTACTTTGTCACTTCACGGAAAAATTAGATTTGATTACTAAGAAATGTTATTATTTACAGTATTTATATTCGCATTATTGTCATCATCTTTGTTGTTTTTGTTATCACAGTGTTTCGGCTGTTGTGTCCCTCCGGGTCTTACTCAGATATATATCGATCTGGGTAATCGAACTCTTGGCTTTATTTAATCCACGAGTGTAGACTTTTCTCGTTTAACTGATCCTGTCTACGTAAAAGGCGGTTAGCCAATCCCTGTTGCAGACACATGCTCAAGCACATTTGCGTTTGTTTAACACATATACAGCCCATCTGCGGATCATACTGCAGCTATAGTGAGCGGTCATTAGTTACAGTTTCTGCGAGAAAGAGCACATTATCAGGCGTGATCAAGAGCCTGAAACCCTCGGTCACGATATTTTGTGACATTTGTGCTAACATAACCATCTTCAGCTTCCAAACTGTTCTAATTTCACTCACAAGGCTTGGATAAACACGTGGTATGGTGTCTCAGGGACTTTCAAAAGGAGTTGTATGTCTCTCCAAGAGAACAACATCAAGTCACCTTCCTGACAAATCGACCATGGTGAGATTCGAACCCTGGTCGAATGGTCCGAAAGCAGCTAACCACTCGGCCATAACGAAAAAAACCTAATAATCGCCCCAGATATAAAGATATTACCTGAATTTAGATTAAACTGGAATAGGCACAAGCGCACAATGTTTGGATCCTAATGTTTGAAGTTATTGAATTCATAATAATCCACCCATAAGATACTAGACATAATGGAAACCTGAAGATGATCGGTGTACACCTGAGATGAATGTTGTATCTATAAAAGAATCTACAACAGTCAAAGTGAAGAACAATAGTCCGAATGAGTCAAATTATATTGATAACTCCTCATCTAAATAATCAAAAAAATATCTGATAAAAATCTGATAACAAATGTTTTATTGCTGGTGCTCCCAGTAGATAAGACTTCAATTACTTAGTTTTGTTTCTTGTCGCACATGACTACAAAAATGTTCTACCAATGAAGAATAACATCAAATCCAAGAGTCAGTGCGATTGATTAGTTAGCCGACGCTATATGAAAGACCTTTTTCCCCAGACATGATTATAACGAGAAACAAATACAACGAAAAACAATTATAAAAAAAATAGATGAAAAGAAAGCCGGAAAAAAAACATCGAAGAAAAAGGTAGAAGACATAGAACAAAGGTTTACCAAGTATCTATAAATAATGTAATGAATCTATAAAATCAATAGACATACAAATATATATATATATATATATATATATATATATATATATATATATGCGTACGCGTTACTTAGTACTTAGTGGAAATTGATCAGTATATGTGATAGAGCAAACATATTCAATTGCAGGATTCACGCTTTTGCGATCATCAGACAAACTGGTCTATTTTTTTTTAAAGTGGATCTATTTATGCTTATTTGGGTTTGATTATTTGTATGTGTGGTGAAGGGGGTAATTTTCTTCTGTGTTTGTATGGGATGACATTCTCACATATTTAGACACACATACAAATACAACTATATATATATATATATATATATATGTGTGTGTGTGTGTGTGTGTGTGTGTGGTTCCTAAATTATCTGTAAAAGGATCACACAGTTAATTGTATCCATTAGACGTAAGATGCATCAATTCACTCCAATATATGGTAAAGCAATATTGGAATTTTAATTCATGTTACGTTTGATCATTTTTAATTCACTTTGCTTTGTCTTTTCAAACAGATATTAAGTACTTATTATGTATCCCTGTCTTTAAAGATAATAGAAATACCATAAGAGAAGGTGCAATGTGTGTGCTGGTTCATAAAGACAAAATCAAACACCAAGGCCTAACAGCATTAGAGTAAAAAGCGTGAAAATCAAATAGCAATTTATGGTAGTATCCGTATCTGGTTAAAGTATTTTATGAAAACAGGAAATGCCTTTCAAAAACGGGAAACTAAGTATTGTCTATATGTACTATGTGGAAACAATAGAGCCCATGTGAATGTGTTCTGATTTGTTTAGATGAATCTTTCTTTGTTCTAAAGATAGCTTTAACCGAGAAATTGACAGACACATGATTTTTTGGTTTCTATGTTAGTAATATAGATATATAAAACCTCTGCTTATGTTAGGTAAGTTATATGCATTTATACGCAAATACTCCCGGGAATTGTGTGAATCTATGCTTTCTTCTCCAGCTATGGGTTAGTAAGTATCACTAAACCATTATAATCTACAAAATTTTTTACAATCTAAAATATTTTCTGGTTTTAAATAATCTGCAATGGGTTGGTAAGTCGTTGGTAAGTCAATCAAACATTCAATTTCTCTTTCTTTCTTTTCTGCTCTCCATTCTTCTCTCTTTCTTTTTCATCCTCTTTGTTTTCTTTATCTGTTACTCCTTTTATCTCTTTTTTTTCTTTATTCACATGTTCATCTCCCATTCTCTTCCAATCTCTTTCTCTCATCGGTCCTCTTCTTTTGTCGATACTGTAGATATCAAAAACTCTGCTTGTCATATTGAGTCCCCTTTTCCCTCAGAAATATAACATGTTTTACATATGTATGTGGTTGTGTGTACGTGATGAAAAAGATATACAGAAGTAAAGAGTATTATTTAACGAAAGAAATGAAAATGATTTCTTTCAAAATGCAAATGGTGTAACTAAACATTCTCGGTCCCACAAACAAATACGAAATTCTTATAGGAATGAAATTGCAGACGATGAATTCCAAAATGTTTGAATGTACATCGATGGTGAAGAGCAAATAACACATCAGAAATGACAGCAAGAAAAATGATTTACAAATCTCAATGATTTACACTGCGTACTAACAATAAGTTTTCACTGCCAGTCTATTGTCATTAATTGAGCATGGGCAAAATGTAAGTTGCAAGTAAGCAGATTCTTTGCATAATATGAGAAAAAAAGAAAAATATTGACGAAAAAAGAAAATGAAGGCGAGAAAGAGGCGGTGGAGTTAGGCTGGAAATATTTAGATGCAAAATGAATGAGGCATAGAAGTGAGAAGGAAACGTGCAAGAGAAAGACAGGATGAGAAAATTATGAGAAAGAAAGAAAGAAAAAGAATTATGGGAAAGTAAGAAACAAACAAATAAGGACAAGAATTTGAGAAAAAATAATGAAAGAAATCAAGAAAGATAAAATTATGGAAAGAAAGAAATAAATAAAAAAAGAAAGAAAGAAAGAAAAAAAATTATGGGAAAGTAAGAAACAAACAAATAAGGACAAACTTTTGAGAAAAAATAAAGAAAGACAGTACGAAAGATAAAATTATGGAAAGAAAGAAAGAAAGAAAGAAAGAAAGAAAGAAAGAAATGATTGAACGATAAAATTATGTAAAAAGAAAGCAAGACGAAATTATGGAAAAGAAAGAAAGAAAGAATGGAAGAAAGAAAGAATGGAAGAAAGAAAGAAAGAAAGATATGGAGAAAAAGAGAAAATTGTTGAAAATAAATAAATGAAGAAAGAAGGAAAAATATATAAAAAAACAAAGGAAAAGCAAAGAAATACTGAAAGTTAAAAAAATACGGTACGAAGAGAGGGGCGAGGAAAACTAAGAAATGGTGGATGAATTGATCAAGAACAGAAAATGGACAAATGCAGGAGATAGATAAGAGAAAAATGGATAATAAAAATCAATAATAATAATAATAATCATAATCATAAAAATAATAATAATAATGGGAAAGATAGAAAAACTACAGAATGATTGCCAGGAAAAACATCGGGAAATCATAAGTGAGAAGGACCGATGTGAGAAAGTTGGGAAGAGAATCGGAGATTTAAAAAAAAGGAGAGAGAGAGGAACATGTGAATAAAAAAAAAAGAGATAAAAGGAGTATCAGATCAAGAAAACAAAGAGGATTAGGTAGAAAGAGAGAAGAAAGGAGAGCAGAAAAGAAAGAAAGAGAAAATGAATGGTTGATTGATCCATGTTCTACGACTTACCAACCCATTGCATATTATTTAAAGCCAGAAATGTTCTTTTTTAGATTATAAGAAATTTTTGTAGATAATAATGGTTGAGTGATACTTACTAACCCATTGATGGTGGAGAAAAGATGGATTCACACATTTCCCAATTGTATTTGCGCATAAATGATTATAACAAACCTAAGTGGAATTGAAACACGACTCTCGAATTAAAAACTCCCTACTATTATCTATTACACCAACCGCACATCCAAGTTTACTGATCCTGGTATTCACAAGCGGTTACCCATCTAGGTTATGCCCAGGTTCGACTTTGTTTTAACTTCGGTGATCAAATGGGAACCGTTTTTTCAACGTGATGAGGCCGTAAGCCAAAAGAAAGAGAAAAGAAGGAAAACAAATCAAAGAATAGAATGAGGGACAAAGAGAATAAGTAAGGGAGAATGGGTGAGAAAGATAAATGAACGAAAGAAAAGCAGAGAAGGGAGGAGAGAAAAAGTAAAAAACAAGATCAAGGAAAGAAAGAAAAGAAGATAATAGTTTGTCAGATGAAAGACAAAAAAGATAATCAGAGACGATAGTAAAAGTTGCTGACTATTTGAATTGTTTTTGTTTTTTTAAGGCTTATCAATCCGAAACATTTTTTATAATAAAAATGATTCAATCTATGCGAACAAATACTGCATTTACATTTCTTTTTTTTTTTTTGAAAGTGTTACTTTGCAGGTCCTATTTTTAAAACCATGGCGGTCGTGGGGAGATCAGTTCATATATATATACCCAAGAATATTGACGCATACATGTTTATAACAAACGCGACTGGCATTCGAACTTAGTTCTCTTTTTTTTCTTGTCGAGCCACTATCCATTACACGGACCACGCAAACGGGATATAAGTGGGGGGAAAAGTAGATTCTTGAGAAAGAAGGAAGTAAGAATACAGTAAATGAGTGGATGGGAGAGAAAGATGAATACAAAGAAATGATAAAAGGCAGTCAGAGATTGGGGAAGAAATAGAAGAAATGGAAAAGAAAAAATAATGAAAAATTCAAGAATAAAGAGCGAAGCCTGAAGTAAAAATATAAAGCAACTTTTGCCTTTTTGCCAGATCTTGTCATTCGTCGACTTTTCTTCTGATTTGCTATTTTTCTCTCGTACCAGATCGTTAACAAATGATTCTGAGGACTTAAATCTGTTCAATAAATATTAGCGCAAAAATTGACAGTTGATGTAAAAGTCACATTTGTACTTAGAAGAATCGTTGAAAAGAGTTCGCTTTTAGTTTTTAATGTTTGGAAATTTCCATCAGCATTTTATTTCTTTTCTATTAACATCTATTCTTATTTATTCTGTTTGCCCCTTTCCTTTCGCCATTTTTTCTTTCATTCATTTCATTCTTTACCCCTATCCAGGTCATGTGCCGATTTATTTACGAGCAAAATTATTGTTTTCATATCGAAGCAATGTTTTCCTACGTCATTTATCTTATATTAATTCTCTTTCGGTTTTCTCGCTTGCTTTTGTAATTTTTTCCTTTCAGAATTTCAATGTATTTCTCGTATTTTATATTTGCTTCTAGTCCTTAATGGTTGCTCTCTTTCGCGGGATTTTCGTGCTTGCACGCCGCTTATATTTCTTTCTTTCTTTCTTTTTCTTATCTCCTCATTTCTGTCTTTGTTTATTCTTCATTTATCTTTTATTTTCGCTTTTTTTCCAATAATTCTCTAAACTTTCTTCCTTTCCCTTATTTTATCTCTTTATTATTTTTCCACTTTATTAAGTTCTTTCTTGCTCCCATTTTTTCTTTATTTCTTATCCTCTCTTTTCCTCACGTTTTCTGATTATTTTTCTTGATTTCTCATTTCTCCTCTTTTTCTTTTACAAATTTTATTATAATTTTCTTTCATTCTTTCTTTCTGTTTTTCTTCCGTGTTCTTTTCCTCATTCTTTTTTCATTATTTTCATTTTCTCTTTTATTATTTTGTCTTCTATTTTTCAATATTTATCAATATTTTCTTTCATTCTTTCTTACATTCTTTTTTCTTAACATCTTTTTTCTTTACTCTGTCTTCATTTTCCTTCATGTTTTCCCTCATTTTACTTTCTTTCTCTATTATATAACAGAATATTCCTTTCTTTCTTTCTCTTTTTCTTTCTTTCTTTCTTTCTTATTATTATTCCCTCTTTTCCACATTATGTCTTCATTTTTCTTGATTTCTCTTTTATCATTTTATTTTCTCTTTTCACTGATTATCATAACTTTCTTTCTTTCTTTCATTCATTTTGTCTTTCCTTATTTATTTATTATCCCTTCTTTTCCACATTGTGTCTCCATTTATCTTGATTTCTCTTTTATCATTTGGTTTTCTCTTTTTCCAATGATTATAATAACATTCTTTCTTTCTTTTTCGTTCTTTCTTTCTTTTCTTTCTTTCTTTCATTCTTATCACCTAACTTCCTTATCCTGTTTTCATTTTTTCTTGAATTGTCTTTTATCCTTTTTTTCACTTTTCAAATATTTATCAATGCTTTCTTTCTTTCTTTATTTATTTATTTATTTATCTATCTATTTATTTATTATCCCCTCTTTTCCATATTATGTCTCCATTTTTCTTGATTTCTCTTTTATCATTTTGTTTTCTCTTTTTCCAATAATTATCATAACTTATTTTCTTTGTTTCTTCCTTTATTTCTATCTTTTTCTTTCTTTTTTTCTTTCTTTCTTTCTTTTTTCTGTCTTGCTTTCTTTATTACGCCATTCCTTCCTTTCTGTTTTTCTTTCTTTTTTCTTCATTTCTTTCTTTCTTTATTTTTTCTTTCTTTCTTTCTTTCTTTCTTTCATTCTTTCTTTCTTTCGTATTTGTTCTCTTTCATATGTTCTTTCTTGCTCTTATTTTTCTTTCCTTCTTTCTTTGTTTATTTCATTTACACATATTTTTGCAGTGCGGACATCCTTTACAAGAAATATTCACACTTCGCCGTCTCTTAACTCACCATGTCAGTATAATTGATCTGAATTATCTTGTTTATAAATATACAAATAAGATAAGGAATAATGAATTATTGTTTCCAAATCATTGTTGTCCATTATTCATAGGCTAAATGCCATGGATTCTTCAAGCAGACAGTTCAAGAGGTAAAAAAAACATTCCGCCTACTCTTACAAAGATCCTGTGTTTGTAGAATCAATAGAAATAGAAATAAAAATGGCCGCTGAAAACTCGTCGCCCAGACAAGAGTGTATTTCAAAGTGAATTCGCCAGATTTGCAAAGGAATTCTTCCGCGGTTATGAAAAGTAAAGAACTTGTGATAAAAAATAACGCAAACTTGAAAAGAGATAAATAAATTGATAGATATAAAAAAAATATATGCACAGACACAAACACACACACATAAACATATATACATATATATATATATATATATATATATATATATATATATATAACGTATGTATTCTTTATTTAGTTCTCTCGTGTACGCAGGCCAGCAGACGAAATAAATACTCTGTAAAATAAACGGAGCGTCGAATCCTATACGAAATCCAGTAAAAATAACGTTTTAAATAATAGTGAGTGTTTGTGTATGTGTGTGAATCTAGATATAAGTCTAATATATATGTAAAACGGGGGACTTTAACATTATAAATGTAATGATTTTATTTTGAAACGTATAAGCAGAATGGGAGGAAAAAATCGTTAACGCTCAAAATGTCACAATATTTATTGTTTTATACAAAAAACAAATAAGGCACAAAGTCCTCAAGGGGATTAGCTGATGGTCCTTTTCTGTCATTAATCTAAAACTTAGCTAGTCAGAATGTTTTGCCAACGTTCTTAAAAACATCACATTGAGAACCATTCTTAATGACCACCATTATTTTTATGACGTCCTAACTTTATATGTACAAAATATTGTTCATGGGGGAGGGTCTGTTAACAACTTTTAAAAATACCCCAAATGAGTATTTACAGAATGAACTAAATATTTACAATTAAACAAAACTTTAGAATAAAAAACCCCACAAACTATGAATGCGCAGAAATGTCAGTTAACTAGACAGAAATCGGGACTAAGAAATAAGTAGACATTCAGACCATCAAGCATTTTTCTTATTTATAAATACGAAAACACACACCCGAACGGTTTCGCATCCACCAGAAAACTGACATCACTAACCACCTAACAACGCTCAAAACGTCACTAAGCGTCCTCAGTAGCTCACCTTTACTTATAATGTAGACTGTAAGAATGTTTTAGAACGTTCTTAAAAATTTGAGAACTTAATGTTATTTTTATCCACTTTACTTCTGTCTATACAGAAATGTCAAAAAAATAATATCCTTACATTTACTTTGATAAAGAATCTCAGGGGACGAAACATTTTTTTTTCTTATTTATAGTCGGGTTTCGATCCCGGCTTGAAGCAATCAGATGTCTAGTCACACTGTTGAATTGTGATAAAGCGAAACAGTCTGTCTGTGGATGAAATGTATACGCACCCGAAAAACTTAAAATCGGTTGTGCACTCTTGGAAGATAAGTGCGAATTTTTATACAATGACTATTACTACTAATATTACAAGGCTCTTCCCCTTCCCTGAATTGTGCACTGTCAGTCATTGGCGTGTTTATTCACAGAATAAGTACGTAAAAATTCGCCTTCTTTCAGCCGTGCGCCGATGTCTTAGGGGGAAAATCTCTGGCTGTTGCCAAATCAGTCAGGTTTTGATCCCGGCTTGAAGCAATAGGACGTCTAACCGCACTGATGAGCTGTGTGATATATATATATATATATATATATATATATATATATATATATATATATATATATATATATTATATATAATTCGTTTACACTTTTTTTATGGATACAACTTATTTGAGCAATTTCTTTGTTTTGATTAAACAGTATTAATTACATTTACCGGCCTGAATCTTCAAGAAATTTCGTAGAAAATAAAATTTTCTCTGACCGGAATCGAACCTGCATCCCATATGGAACCGTTATTTAGCCTGACTTCCTGGTAACCAGTCAACCACGGAGAAGTTTCCGTTTAGCAAAGTACAAATTACTACTTATAAACACACTTCTTCGTCGATCATTCTCGATAATTGATTTCTGCTCCGAAGCGTAAACTAACGTAAAGAATGACAACATATTAGATAAAATGCGTTAAGTCCGACAAATATTTTCTCTTTATACGTTATTTTTATGGATATAACTTAAGTAAATCTTCCGTTTTATGTAAACAGTATTAATTACATTTACCTTCCTGAATGTTCGAGAAAATCTCGCAGAAATTATGCGTTCTCCGACAGGAATCGAACCTGTATCCCATATCGAGACCATAATTTGGCCTGACGAGCTGTTAATCATTCAACCAGAGATAACTTTCCGGGTAGCAAAGTTCAAATTACAGCTTATAAAAGCATATATTCAACGATCTTCTTTAATTAAACGAATGGGAGATAGATAGATAGATAGATAGATAGATAGATAGATAGATAGATAGACAAAAAGAATGGGAAGTAGATAGATAGAGATAGTTGTCATTTACGAGTATTTACTCTAACGTTACGCTACTAAACTGAACACCAAATTAATTTGAACACCAAATAAACAAACAAATATTCTCATAGTAAAAAAATGAAGTACGTAAAGCGATTAACGCATATGGTTAGGAAGATGCATGAACAGACTGATATATATATATATATATATATATATATATATATATATATATATATATATATATATATATATGATTGAATAAATTAAAGACATTTTAACAAAATCCTTGCATAATCACGAGTAACCTTCCGTGTATTGATATTAAAGGATGAAAGAAATTTGTTATAACTGTTTTAATTTATTTTATTTTCATTTCCCAAGTAGTTTCGATCTTCATCCAAGATCATCTTCAGGGGTGCAAGTATTTATACAGCTTTGTATAAATACTTGTACCCCTGAACAACATATAGTTTTGTATTACTTGTAACCCTAAAGATGATCTTGGAAGAAGATCGAAAGTATTTGGGAAAGGAAAATAAAAGAAATATAGCACATTTCTCCCATCCTTTAACTTCAGTACACAGAAGGTTATTCGTGAGTATTAATGGATTTTGTTAAAAATTAGCAGACGTAATGTCTAATTTATTGACTCAGACATGCCTAAAAGAGAATTCCCTGTCTAAATACACACACACACACACACACATATATATGTGTGTGTGTATGTCCACTAAAAAAATGAATCGATAAGATAGCTCAATCGTTTTGCACGTACATGTTTCTTGCCTACTACAATGAATGTTTTAAGCTAAGCTTGCTTATCTGGATGAAGGCGTTGGTTAGATCCAGTGACAGGATCCAAATAGTGTGAGTTCAATACCCGGTTAAGGCAGTGGGGAATTAACAGGAGGTAACTGATAACTGACATCCATTAAACATGGCACGTGGAACTAGATCAGTCTACCCCAGTGAACGAAATAAAGGTTTTAGAGTCTGTCTATATTTCTGAGATGAGGTATTATGTACAGTATTTACATTAGTCGGACTATTGTCCTCATCTTTGTCGCCATATTTGTCACAACGTTTCGGCCGTTGTACGCTCCGGCCTTCTTCAGGTGGTTGGAATTTCGAACTGAACCCTTTATTTCGATCACTGGGGTAGACTGTTCTAGTTCAACCTCAATGGGTTATTTTATACCGACAAGATTTTTAT